GCCAGGAAACGACAGAGCTTCGTGCGTGCGTTCCTCTTCCGTCTAATGAAAATGCAAAGCCGAATCGCACAATCAAATGCTAACCCTTGTAGCATGTATCGGAATTCCTTCAACAGTACGTATCGCTTTGGCGATACGTAGATACACGATTAAGCCTAAGCCATTCGAACTATTTCAGATGCTACATGCGATGGGAAGGGCTCGATTAAACAGATTACTTCCGATCCATTTTACAATCAAGCCGTCTGTTCCGCTTACAAGCTCGGCGGCGGTGAGAGATTCCGAGTACTTTGGTTGGCTTTCTTTCCGCTATAAAACTGCCGGTTGTTCATTAAACGCAAAATGCTCATTTCCCAAATGCACCACTTTGTATGTTTGGAATCAATTTCAAATACTGATCAGCGTGTTTCATATAATATCATCGAAAATATAATATTCAATATAAGAACTGACGCCTTCAATATTATATAATCATTATTATTTGAAATAAGCTTCGGTGCAATTTATTGGAAAAAAATTTTTTAATCATTGTGACAATATCATATTAATATTTCCCTCTTTTAATTTAATTAAAAAATGAATTATAATTTTAAAGTGTAAGACAGGCAATAAGAGCCAAATCGCGGATGACAGTGCGTTATTCCAACGAAACTAAATTTTTTTCGTTAAAATTAATTACCTCTTTATTGCCTGTCTTACACTTTAAATTTATATTTATATCACAGAGCCTTGTTAAACTCTTAATGAATTATAATGTTTAAAAAAGTTTATAGGGCAATCGTCGAAATTGGCTACAACATGGAAACTGTTAACAGTATTAAAGTCACTTTCGTCGCTTTATTTAATTTGGTAGTTGCCTTCCGACATTCATCCTTTGATCTTCGCCAGCTATCCACACTTGCCAATATAACAGCGACGTGCATACATATTCCGAGACGTTTACGTGCCGGTTACGTATGTACGTGTACATGTACGTACTGTACGCGACATATATATCATATAGACGTAGTAACGGGCGGTCTGACCCGATACTCTCAGCAACCACTTGGCCGGGTATGCTTGATCGGTTCATTTGCCAGGACTGAGAACGCTCAGTCGGGGATAACCGCCCTCGCAAGCCTCCCCTATCCTTGCTTCTTCCGATGTTCCCAGGACCTTGCGTCTGCCAATTAAAGGCAGCCCGTGTGCAACCAAGACTATCATCAGATACATGTACACGTTCATACGTCGTATATACCGGGTGTTCACCTTCCGAAATCATGTATTTTCTACTTAAGCTTAAAAAGTACTTAGAACTCTTGAAAAAACATACGAAAAAGAAGCTTTCTATTAAACAAAAATTTCAGCGAGCAATTTTCAAAACATATACAATTTTCTCGTTTTGTGTGTGCATTTTTTGTTAATATCAGAGTAAAATGTTAGGAAAAACAAATAATGAAAATAATTATAATTCTAAGTAATGTCAGAAATTCTTGTAGAACTTTCACCAAATATTCTTCATGGAGAGAAAAGATGGACATACTATACCGGCCCACGCATACACACACATACGCGATACGGATGAATAAACCCACAATGTGGTACGTGCACTCTCGGGAATTTCAGGAGCGAGTGAAGACAAGTGCTTTAACGACCGTCTCTCTCTCTTGTTACGACAATCGGGGGTGGCCAATGACGCGTTAAAGTAAGAGGACGATTGTTCCGTTTCGAAATAATAAAACTTGTTGATAACGATGTTATGCGCTGCACAACCGAGATCGCAGGCATTGCGTGTAGAGAAGCCGTTGAACAATTGCTCGTGCTTGTTACGCCGAGCTTGTTAAAGATAAAAAAAACGAATTCTCTTTTAGAGTCTCATTAAACTGCTAATTACAGCTTTGTATTGACCATTTTTTTCGTTATTTAAAATTTCATGTGCACGCACAGAAACATAATATCCATATAAAGCGGATTAATCGACGATATATTATGGCGAATAACCATTAATTCGCCAAAACAATGCAAATATGTATTATTATAAAACCGGGGACATTAATTTATGGATCGATTAATAAATAAAAGATATTTGGTTGCAAGTGGAGAATAGTTAACTAAGTGGAGTGTTAACAACATTGTTTAAATGTTATAAAACTATCATGGATGATCGCGCGCGATCAAAACTGAACAAATGATATTAATAATGTATAACGCGCATCCTATACACGCGGACACATTATACGCTCTACGGTGCAATAATACGAGAATATACAGTGTAAAATAAACATTAAACCTCAATTGTTCATTACGCAACTTTAATGAATTTAATGCGCATATTGATATCGCGCTATGTATGTATTCTAACTCGGATAAACGTCCATAATTATGCAAGCATTTACGTATAAATCGAATCCGTTCGCCGCTCGATGTATAATATTCCAGGAAGCGCGCGGTTTGACACAAGTCAGATAATATAATTGACGCAGATTAACTGAGAAATGAGAGTTTTACGTGATTAACTGTTTATTTTAAACTTTGCGCATTCGTTTGCTTTTATAAATTTATAAACACAAGCAGAAAATAATACAAATATATGCATCACGAAGGGAACTATAAATTGTCGTAATCCAATGTGTGAGACCATCTATACCTCATTTATATACAAAAGACAATTATTCTATCAGGACACTGCATTATCGCTAGTGCTGCGTAAAGTGTTAATGAACCTAGAGACGCGTATTTCCTTTCACGAAACAAGCAACAAGGTTCAGACAATGCAAACGAATTCACACAAATAGTCTCGTTGACGCCCAGAATATCCAGGAGCAAACAATAAACCGACTCCGCTCATTTGTATTTGCAAACACAGTCATAGAGGAAGAAACACCTCTTGTTAAACTACGCAAATCAAATTACTGTTTTGATACGTTTGCTCAAAATACCTTACCAAATTTATTGTGAAATTAAAATTTACATTTAAATTACATACAAATCCGATAATATATAAAATCGTAAAAATAAATGCTTGAAATTACCGAGTTTAAAACTGGCTTGAATTTAAATTAAAACCAGAAATTTTAAATGATAAAAAGAAAGCTGATTTGCAAAACAAGAATATTCCATTGAATAAAAATCAATTGCTTTGATTAAATATTTGAAATGTTTAAAATATTATGATGTAATCGACCGATAATGTTTTATAACTAAATCCGTTTAATAATAACAAAAAATGTTTAATCTAAAATGTTGCTATGCCAGTTGCATGCGGTTGAAACCGACGTTATTACGAACATTGCAATAAGCATAATCTTAAACAAGCAACTAAGTTAAATGATGGTATTCCGTTTACAAGTGTTTCAAACTCGAATCTCCCGCGAAGCGAAGATTGAACATTTGACTTTCCGTGTATTTGTAGTTACTAGCAGGTCGTTAAAGTTTAACGATCCGTTAATGTCTGTCGAAGATAATACTCAAAACAATTTGCGGCGCATCGATAAAATGTAACGAGGTCATAAATGCTTTTTGCAGCTTTTAATGAAAACGTGTCACCCTAAAGATCAAGATCATATTGTTAGCATGTAATATAAAAACCCATCGATTATCGCGCTGAAGTCCAATGGGAGAATATAATATTATATATATGTACAATATATTTTGTACGAGAAATCACCATACGAACAATTTTATTTAATTAAGAACGAAACGTAATCTTTTTTACGCCTGTTGATTGAATAGGACGACGTTAAGGGACCGCGTTGCTTTCAACGCGCGGGATGCCATAATAATGGCGAGATTTGCATTTAATCAGGCCGGAACCACCTCGCTGCGTTTCTTGCCGGCCGTTCTGAATGCAACCCATGCAAGAATGTCTGCGAGAGTTTTTATCCCGCTGTTATTCTACACGCGCACCCCGTGAAAACGTTGCCGCGTTGTTGCACAGCACGTTGGATCGCGCGAGTTCCCGTAACTGTTTGCAGTTAGCGGCGAACTATCTCAGGACAGTGTTATTGTTCACTTGTCGAGACTTTGAGAGTTCCGTCCTGTCCCATTTGCATCCCCTAACGATAAACGTTCTTCTGAGAGACAGAGAGAGAGAGAGAGAGAGAGAGAGAGAGAGAGAGAGAGAGAGAGAGATTCCATACTGACGCGAGCAAAGTTTCGCGCAATCGCGGACGCGACTTTGCAATTACGCGGTATTAATTGTAGATAGGAAAACAAATATTTGTTATTACGAACGTAGAGTACAAGCATGTTTAAATGGAAATGTTTATGTTTTCGATTACGTTATGCGAAGGCAAATATGCTTGGCGATGGAGCAATCAAAATTGAATCGCATATTGATTAAAGTTCAATTACACGGCATTATATAAGCTTCTGTCAAATATATACTGCCACGCGTGATTTATTTGCATTATGATTTCTCCTCGAAAAAGTTTTTACGCATATCTTCTTGATCGATTTTTCTGTAGCGTGCGGTTCTACAATTCCCGCTAGTATACATAAAGTCACAAGTTTACGTACCGCATAATCTAGCATCTCCGTTTCAGGTATTTTGAAGAACACGACAACTTAACGTTGTAGAGCGCTATATCGTGGAAATTGTGCTCTATCGTTTTTCAAACCAGCAATTTTGCAACATTAATCAACGTGATTAAATCAACGGTAACACGGAATGGCAGCTCGACGTGATAATGTGTGAAGTAATACGGAACGAAATATATAGTACGCAAACGCCGCATATTTTTCATACCTTTTTTTCATTAAAATTTTAATTAGACTTTATGGAATCAAATATCTTCACGCTTTTATATCATATAATCCATTATTTGTGTTGCACAAAATTGCAATGATAATTTTTATTTTTTCGGTAAAAATAGAACGAACGGTTTATCGGAGAAAAACAAATTGGGAAAATTAGTACATTGCCGACGAAAATTCTCTTCTCTTCGTCCGGATCCTCATCCGATATACAGGAAAAAAACAATGTAGATATGTAACACATGTAGCATGAAAATATCACTCACCACACGATCGCCCGGGTGTTTGACATAACAATTCAGCTCCGCCGTCTGGCCGACGATGGCAGTGACATTTCGCGGTGCAATATCGTCGAATTGAGGTTTCATCCAAGGTTTCGTCGGCTTGCTTCCTGCTACCACACTAGCAATACTGGAGCCACCTGAAACAAAATATTAAACAATGTCGAAAATATAAGACAATTCTGCGAAAATAGATTTTTATTTATAAACTATTTATTTATAAAGTTAAATTCAAAAATTTAAGTTTTATGGAATTTAAAAAAAAATATCAACATCTACGTACAACCATAACAATCGTGGCGATTGCTTCTATTACAAAGTTTGCTGCAAAAGTTTGGTCCTGCGGATCCAAATTAATTTCATATTCAAATTAATACGATGGTCAGTGGTGGATTAGGAGTTGTTGTGGCTCTAAGTTGACATGAATGAAACCCTCATCATAAAGTTTCTCAAAGCCTTAAGCTATGGCTTGTTCAATTTATGTTTAAAGACTTTGTGGCAATAACATGGGCAGTATCATGTGATATAACAATTTATTAATACATAAATAACACAATTAGGATTTATAATTTTAGCGCATAATAATGCTTGTAAATATATTTTCTGCGTGCAAATAAAATCTCATTTTTTGCATCTATATATTTTAAAATAACATTTTATTTATTTTAAATATCCTTATCTCCGATGTAATTTATTTCTTCAATAAAAGAATTTCTCGTTAAAAGAAGAATATTTTTTACTCTCAAAAAAAAAAACTATGTAAAAAAGTATATAATTATAAAAAAAAATTATTTTATATTTTATATCTCACTCTTGAAAATATCTAGCAACACGTAAATATATGTAGATCATGTCAAAAGAACGTAGTTTTCTGTTGAGAAGTTTAACAAACCATGTAAATCCATGGACAAATCTTATCTAACGAAACATTGATCGAGCTATATAACTCGTACTAAAGTCAAAGTCAAAGTTAGATGAATATGGAAACTCAGTATGCCGTACATTCAAACGAGATTAGACGGGGAAATCACTTTATAACATCAGACGCAGCAGCCTGAGTGAAAGTCGCGCATGCCATAGGTAATTGTAATAAGTACTTGATTAAAAGCCGGAACTTCCGTATATTATAAAGCGTTACATCATTGTTCATGATCCACAATCGTGTGTAGCATTCATGAAATAGATTTGCACCAACAAAACTGTCTACTTTGATCTTGTATTAATGCAAATTATTTACAAACTGATAAATATGTTAATGCATGTATTTGCATTTTCTCCTTTCCGTCATTTTCACTTGCTTTGCATTAGTAATAGAATAATGTGTTTTAAATTCGATAAAATATTATTAAGAAATTTATTTCACAAGTTTTTACGCATCTATTTTAAATTTTATTTCAAGATTTTTCTTCACTTCAAATATACAACTTAAAATTTATGTTTTATTAATAATAAATGCATCACACATTTCAGCCCTTTATAGTTAATTTATTATTAGTTATTAATATTTAGATATATAGATTTATTATAACACTTCTTTTACTGTTTAAATTTTCTTGTCTGTAAGCGTTTCTACTAGGCTCTATTTTATATTTGATTATTCAATATCAATTATAGTATCGATTTTATTTAAGTGGCATTTTAATTTTTTACAAGTGTAAATTTTCGAGGAATATCGGGAAATAAAGAACGAGAAAGAGAGAGAGAGAGAGAGAGAGAGAAAGAGAGAGAGAGAGAGAGAGAGAGAGAGAGAGAGAGAGAGAGAGAGTACGCGCTATTTTCTCGAACTATTTTTAATATTTCTTGTTTAAGTTATTTTTTATATACAGTTATATTTGAGACATTTTATCACTCTTTTAATTATGAAATAATATAACTCAATCATAATATAAATCCTTTCTCTCTAATAATTAACATTGATATTTCATATAATTAGGATGATTAATATACATATGTTATGTTTAATGCGTGTTTATGCATTTCTGACTACAGTGTCCAATTTACAGACAACTAATTAATATCTTGCTATCACATACTAGATAGTCAACATTAGCTCGTATAACACAACTGGCAAACTCATCCTTTAATTTTAACAGTTCAATATTATACCAATTCTTTATAGAACAATATATATTAGCAAATATTTTAAACTATTTTTGTGATGGCTATACATTAAGAAATAAATTAAGAAATATATAAAATTAGAAATTTTGTCAATAATACATTTGTTTATTATTCCCGAGTATCAGAGAAGAACAAATTAATTTAATGATTGAATTTAATGATATGAGAGTATTCAATGTACTCCAATTTATACGTCATATAATGCATTGCAGCGTAAATTTTATTTGATTTAATCGCTCGACTTCCCATTAGCGGAGATTTCGACGATCGCTCAGAGATCTTCATTATCATAATCCCATAGGAGTAACTGAATACGATGAAGAAGAACGCGGGAAGATCGAAGGGAAAGGACGAAAGTGGCATCGGAAAGCTCAGTGGAACGGCCGTACACGAGCAAGAAGGGCGAGATAGAACGCGTACGATAAAATTTTCCATTGTGTGCCAGGGAAAATGGGACTTTGGCGCAGGTAGAAATTGAAATTGTTACGAGGTACATGCGAAAATTGCGGAAATAGCATGACGATGCTCAAAGCATAACAAAGATGTAACGGGATCAAAAAGTATCTTGAACGCAACAAGCTATTGAAAAATTAATTCATCGCAAATATTGTCACTTTATGCTTGCTGCTTTTGTTATGGAAAATATGAAAGCGAATGAAAAATGTAATATATAAAGCGCGATGTATTTTGTAAGTATTTACAAAATTTCCAATATCGATAATAATATCTATCATGTGATAAAATGTAGAGATACCATAAGGTTCAATTCTTTTAACTGTTTTATTCAAAGAAAAAAAGGAATTCTTGAGTCAAGTATTTTTATTCTTAAACGCTATTTGATTGATTTAAGCATAGAATGCTCTTTGTAATCACAAATTTTCATTTGCCTTAATAATAAATAAGTTTGTGTAAAGTATATTTTATCCTTAAGATATATTCTTGTTTTAAAAATCGCATATGGTATATATATTTGAAAGTACCGCTTATATCCGATGCACACTTGTCACTTGTCCTTGCAATATTTATAAGTAAATTTCAGCTTGAACCAAGAATATTTTGCACTTTGTTTTAAGGATAAATTATCCTTTATCCAAAATTATTTATATTTGGCGCTATTATAAGGATAAAATATACTTGAATCAAGGCATATTTGCATTCTCTCAAGGATATTGTTTTTTCTGTGTTGATATTTGTGAATTGTGTGTTTTTAGTTTAATGATGAACAAATTGCATACATGTACCTAGCTTATTTTTGCACTATCTGGACAAACTTCTACATTCCTCGGAGTTGTTTCACCATTCAATAAAGCATTCTCTCACAACTTTCGATGAACACCGGGAAATGAAAGCTATCGAGCTCGCTATCGCGATACGCAAAGGCTATCCTCCTCACTGCACCTTGCACGAATTCAATAAGGTTCTGCATTCTCTGCACTCCGCGGCAACAATAACTTCTTGTTATAGTCATGGTACGGGTTAAGCAAACACCGGTCACGAGAACAATACAGGCACTGCCCACTCGCTGGATAATTTTCCAAACTTTGTACCTTCTAGTCGAGGCACGTAATTCGAGTTGTTTGATCTGTAGCTTTGTACTCGCTGGAAAACAGCGCGCTAGTGAAATTTTCTACCTCCCCTTGAAATTTAGTCGCAATGTGAACAATGTCTGTCCTGATTTTCTGTTTTTACTCTTTGTATGTGCCTGCTCGTATCATCTAAACATTCCTCTAACAATTTCCTAATTTGCAGTAAAAAAAAAGTCATATGCAAGCTATAAATTATTTCAGGTAAAAAAAAATAATTACAACACAATAATAATGTTAAAATTGACGTATACGTTATAATGTGTAAAGATTAGGATAAATATCTTTAGATAATTTTAATGTAAAATAGTACAAGTATAAACAAACATTTGCAATCTCATTAAAAACACATATCACATGTCACAGCTTTAAAATTCTCATCACGAGAATACATTGCCACAAAAAAGGATATGTTATGACGCGTTTCCTACCCTTTGAGAATTATTACGCGAAAAGCGAAAATTCTTTCCCTCGTTAATGTGAACTAATGGCCGCGCGGCGTGAAAAGTGAACGCGATAATGCAGTTATTGTCAAAGCACGTTGCGCTTTTACTCACGATCTTGCCGTATTTCACCGCGTTAAACCGACGCGTCGAATCTTGGGCCGGCGCTGAAACAATATTTATTTCCGGTTACGAATAGCGAAAAAGCGGAGCAAATGTCTCGTACAAAGTGTCCCATTGTTACAATACTCTATAGTATTCCGACCGGTTTCTATTCCACAGTCGCACTCGCGACTTGAAATTGCACAGCCGATATTTCGAAATGGATCGTACCGTCGATTTCGGCATCAAGTGCATTGCCGAAGGGTCCGTTTCTTTTCTAGCCGTTTTATTCCATTGCTCGCTTCGTCGCAATTCGTCGCGGTATACGCTCGATCAGCTCGCAGCAATATGAGTGCGCATTCCCTTTTAGATACGTTCGAGAACTTGGATTTTGCCGTTTCAGATAAATCGACGACTCGCGAACGATGTCGATGGCAATTGCGCGAGCTAAGTTGAGATCGAGAAATGATATTTGTTTTTATCATCCTCTGTCCTCTATCTGTATATATATATATAGAAATAAGTATATTGCGAAACATACAATTTGTAGATCGTAGATTATTGTAATGGATACGTGAACATATGTGGTAAATTTATTTTTCCCTTAAGAAAAATTACTTCTGTTTCGAATCGTAAAGAAAAATTCAATTTATTCGTTTGCAAAACATCTCTATCTTGTAAGAATTTCGAAGAACATTTTCTTCTTCTAGAATCTTTGTCACAAAAATATAGAAAATTAGAAGATTAAATTATATTTGTAAATCTGAATAGCTCAGTTGGAAGAGCAGTCGCCCGGCAAGCGAAAGGTCTCGGGTTCGATTCCCGATTCAGCGACTTTCGGATCTATATTTTTCTCTCGCATTTATTTCCTTAAGGGGGGAACAGGGAATG